TTCTACTGCCTCCTTGGGGTAGAGTAACACCACCTTCCGAGCGAAGTAATCCCTCTTCATCTTGGTCTTAAATGACCTGTCCGGTCATTTGGGACACTGTCTCCTAGTTCTGGACTCACTGACCAGGGATGCAAGTCCTTCTACTCCCAGCCAGAGAGCTCCTGGCCAGTCAGACACTGACAGCTAAACTGAGATTGGTGGTGTCATGGATCCCGGGACTTGGATGAGTGAGCATGGGATGAGAGTCGGAGGTCTGGGCAAAGGAGTGCCTTTCAGTGGCCACCTTGTCGCCAAAATGCTGAGGCCCTCAATCCAACTTTAAACGCATTTGAAACAGCAAACCCTTCCCACCTCAAAACAGGGTGCAGACATGCCTGATCAGGCTCGCTGAACAGAGGAGACATGAAAAAGCCGCACCTCATTTCTGAGCTGCCACTGAGTTCCGTAGGGCTCTGGTTCATTGCTGTCAATTAGCGTGTTAATAACATCCCATGGTGAATGGACGATTTTCCAACAGGGACTCCTTCCTGTCTGTGAATTAGAGGCAGACTGATATATGACCTCTCTGGGAGCTTGTGACAGTTTAGGATCTGTACCTGCGAACCAGGAGTCTCTGGTTCAAGTCCCCTGCTCCAGATAACATCTCTGAGCAGGTTGACTAGAAAATAGCTATGCAGCCTCTCCTGCTATTAAGTGGGCCCAGTTGCCATGTCTCCTGCTGTGATGGGCTGCTTTGAATCCAGCCCTGGGTGTCATGTCACAAATGTTGCATTTTTTTTTTCATATTTACAAAAACATATCTTAAGATGGAAGAAACTTGTAGATGTTTTACCCTGGATTCTTATGAGCAGTATTTAAAATGAATGGCAAACTTACTTGTAATTGATATCAGTTGGCAAGCATCTGCAATTGCGTGGATTACCACAGTGACTACTACAATAATGGCCTTAAAAGAATAGCAACCTCACATCTGTGCTGTGGTCTCCAAAGGACTCATGTCATCACCACAGGAGTTCTGCTAATAGTTCAGAAAATTGCACTCTAGCATTTCACTGCTAAATTTCTGTTACCATCTAGAACAAAACCAGAATAGTAATTTGCAAATGTGAATAGCAGGTTGTCAATCCAGCTAAGTATGCTCTATCATGTTGAAAGAATAATCCTGTAGGAAACGTTGTACAATCAACATGCCAGTCAGAAAATGAGATACATTGAGAAATAATGCAGTTGGCCTATAATGATTGCAATTTGTTTAAATTTATCAAATAGCTAAGCCCTGAGTGAAAGGTATATGGAATGCTGAATGTTTTGGGGGTGTGGTAGGGGTGAAGTCTTTGGCCATGATGACCTGCCCCCTCCCCCTTTTCTGATGAAGGGTCTCGGCCCGAAACGTCAGCCTCTCTGCTCCTATGATGCTGCTTGGCCTGCTGTGTTCATCCAGCCCTGCACCTTGTTGTCTCGGATTCTCCAGCATCTGCAGTTCCTACTATCCCTGGTTAATAGAGGTCCGGTTTGATTGACCATGTGATCTCTCTCTGCCTTCATTCATGCAGTGTTACATACCTGGCATTAAGGACATGCCTTTAATCAGAGCTCGGCTTTACTGGGCCAGTCATGTGGTTGTTAAGAAGGATGCTTGAATACTAAAGGCAGTACTCTACAGCCAGCTGAGCACAGAAACCCAAACTGCAGGACATCCCAAACTTGGGTAGAAAGACAATCTAAAAGGTATTCTCAGAGGTTGCACACTGGGTCCCAGTACGTCAGGGGAACAAACCACCTTGGGCAGACTCAACTGGAGAAGGCTCTGTCATCAAGTGAATTTGACACTCAAACAGAAGAGTCCATGCTCTTCAGGACAAACGAGCAAGGTGCAAAGCGCTGGCCTTCCCAACATTGACATCTTGTGCAGTATTTGCAATTGGTTGAGCAATTGAGAGTTGGCCTAATGCCATACAAGAGACAACAAAAAAATTAGACTGTAAAGTCTTGTTTTTCCTCCCCTTTTTACTGAACAGTCATTCACTGAAGAGACAGGAGAATCTATCATCATTCTTTGATGTACAGTGCCAGCAACATGTGCATCTATTTAGTCATTCTCTTATGGAATTACTCTGACCAAGTGATGTGAGTGTTTGCAACAGCTGTAGACAACTTGTCAATTGCAATGTATCGTTCTTTATGAACCGAGGGCCAAACACATCATATTGTATTGTGGTGACTGAGTGGATCAGCATAACTCTGCTGATTGCTGATTGCTTTCTTTTCTCTCTCATCCCTTTGGGAAGAGTCTGGCCATTATGAACACTGCAAACAATAATGACCAAAATGTCTTTGGCACAGTCCAACACATTGTTTTTCCAATGTAGTGTATTTCTCTCTTAATTGTTTTTCCTTGTATCTCTCAGTCCTTGTCTCTGGAGGATTCTCTGCATTGATTTCCTAATCCAGCTAAAGCATCCCCACAATATTGTTTACTCTGTTTGTGGGCTTCCTTTCTTCACAAGGATAAAATAGGTGTTCAGTCACTAAAGCTATGAGCCTGGCAAAGTGTGAAACTTAAATAATGTGCCAAGTATAACCACCAAATGTGCATGCAGTAAATGTGGGCAGAACACTTAATCATATTTCAGTAACCTCAGTTATATTTTGTAATTTTTGTCTGTGATTTGTCCACAAAGGGTGTGATCAAAGTACAAATGAAGCTTTGAGAGTACCCCAGTTTTATCCCCATAGATGGGATCTGTGCATTTCATCCCTTTTCCTTGCCCTCATCAAGTCAATGCTACAAACCAAAATGAGCAAACAACCTTCCTCATTGTTCCAGGTCCCTTCAAATAGGACAGATGTCCGTCCTTGTTTTTACTGTTATCTCCTTAGTGGCCTTTGTGCTATTGGATTGATTAGGCTGAAGTCTAGGCTATTAATTAGGCTATTGCATTTTCTTGAATGCGTGGCCTCAGTTGGGGAATCAAAATGGGCTGTGACTTTGTTAATCTTAAGATCTGTTTTCAAGCTGTCTTTCATCTTAAGTTAAAAGGAAAGAGATCACCTGAGTGCCTGAAATCTGCTGACAACGGGCCCAGCTTGGTGAACGTTGAATGGATGTCTGCATTGTGTTACCAGGGCAGTGGTGCAATATGTTTGTTTAGTCATGATGGCAGCATATCTGAAGTTTGCTAAAATAAAACAAAGAAGTGCAGATGGCAAAGATCTGAAGCAAAAACAGAAATTGCTGGAGAAACTCGGCAAGTCTAGTAGCATCTGTGGAGAGAAAGCAGACTTAACATTTCGGGTCCAGTCACCTTCCTTTAGAACTGATAGTCTTAAATTCACAGTGGGTGGTCAATTCCTGAGTCTCCTAAAGTTCCAGAAAACTATTGGAAATATCACGTTGAAAATAGTTGTGCTGTAAATTGTCAGTTTACTTCTAAAATGAAAGAATGTTGAAATCTAGATAGCAAATAGCTTTTTCATCTGGATGCAAGTCTAATATATTCAATGCCGCTATGGGAAAGAGTGCAGAAGCAGTCATGTTTGACTCCGGTTACAGGCTTAGCCACAAATTACTGCCCTAGGTGAACTGCAGTTCTGTGTAGTCCGGAGATGGAAGATGCTGCTTAGTTTTGTGAGCTACCACAGCTAGATGCACGAAGGAGTGTCACTAGTTGAAGCTGCAGGGTATGTTACTATCTAAAGATTCCGGAAGAACAATCTCGGTGCCGTTCCCATCAAAGGGGAAGAGTGATCATAACAGTTTTATTCATTGCCGGTAGTGTGTTTGGGAAATTCTCTGATAACTAAGGGTAGCGCCTTGATGTAGTCAAAGTTACTACTTGGTAAAGCTGACAAATGTGCAAATCCATTGGAAGCTAACAGCATTCTATTTGCTGTAAGGCTAGTAAATCTGTGGAGTGTGTGAGCATAAAAGCTCATTCTGTAGTTTAAAGTACAAAAAGAAGACAGTATTAACTAAATAGTTTGTTACAGTAAAATTTAGCCATTAACTAACAGTTTGACTTTCTCCATTTTTCAGTGGATTCTATTGTCATTTATTTTGAATATATGGTTTTGGATTTGAACTGCTGTGATTTGAAAAGTCCTAAGGTTTGTACTTATTCACCTCTATTGGAAACACTGTCCGATCCAGTCAAGCATTTTCTAAAGTACAGTTAGTAAAATAAAACATTTTCAGTCATATTTTGGTCTGTGTGCAGCTTATGTATTGCCTTCAGAGTAAAATAGAATGGAAATGTGTCTGGTACTTTTACACTAAAAATACAGTGAAAACTTTTGTAAGTTGTCCCACCACAGACCCTACACCAATGACAGAAGTCATACTTCTAATAAAGAAGTAATAATTAAGACAAAGTTCATCACAGTTCGGTTAACGGCTCCTGGGCTCAGGTAAAGCTGATTTAAGGAATGATGGAATACCCTGAAGATGCAGCCAGGATGAGACCGTGACGCGGGGCGGCTGAATACCAGGCCGGAAGCCTTCACTGAAGAAGACTGCTACACCAGGAGATCACCAAGCCAGGCCAAGACAGCCTTTCTCCTCTTTCAGGTGCCCAGGCCTAGCTGCGGACCTGGAGCCTTTGCCCGGACTGTGAGTCTGGGCCGGAGAGTCAGCCTGGGACCTATTCCTCGCTCACCGAGAGAACCCAGGCTGGGGGCACCAGGGGTTATGCCGTGTCCAGCTCATCCTGGCATTGCTGCACTGGAGGCTTCAAATAAAGCAAAGAGGGACGCAAAAATAAAAAGAAGGGGGACAAAGGAAGAAGAAAACCAAAGGGAGTGGATGAGTCTGGGCTCAGCGACCACCCCCCCCACCCCAACTCCAGCACCATTTACAAAAAAAAAATGCACGTGCACCCCAAATGATAGGATGGGAATGTTGTACCCTGCACCAGATGTCTGCAATTGTCTTCTTAGTAAGAGGTTGAATGTTTTCTTAACTTTTGGCAAATGACACTGACATTGTTCCTTACGTTTTCCAGATTGGCGGTCTAGAATTCCCTCCCAAAAAGCTGTTTGGTAACCGGGATGAAAGAGTGATTGCTGAGAGACGATCCCACTTGGAGGTATTGTTTAGGTTTAATTCAAATGTAATGCAAAACAACTTAGAATTACCCTATTCAGCAGTGAACAACTCAAAAGCAGTATCAGAGATAGTAGGAACTGCAGATGCTGGAGAATCTGAGATAACAAGGTGTAGAGCTGGATGAACACAGCAGGAAAGCTGACGTTTCGGGCCTAGACCCTTCTTCAGAAATTTCTGAAGAAGGGTCAAGGCCCGAAACTTCAGCTTTCCTGCTCCTCTGATGCTGCTTGGCCTGCTGTGTTCATCCAGCTCTACACCTTGTTATTTGAAAAGCAGTATCAATTTTTTCCAGTAAACACAATACAGTGGAAGTAACCTGTGTGTAGATCAAAAAGCATAGGGGTCATGGGTGAATAGAATTTGTTGCAAGTTGGGATGCAGGCAAGAGTTTTGGGTGAGCTCAAATGTATAGAAGTTTAAATCAGGTTACAATGTCATCTTTTAAGATGATGGCAATGCTGATTCGATGACGACTTGTACAAAAGCAAAATACTGCAGATGTGCGAAAATCTAAAATAAAAACAGAAAATGCTGGAAAAACTCATGAGGTCTGGCAGCATCTATGGTGGGAGAAACAGTTAACGTTTTGCGTCTAGTATAGCTTCAGAACCCTTTAGATCGCAGCTTGTTATGTAACGCACCCATTTACAAATGAGACTGAGGCTGACACTCTCAGATTCAAAAAGTGCAAAGTGTACCTCAAATTTAAACCTAGAAGAGGAGTCAGGTATCTCAAAACATTTGAGCATCACATGAAGCTAGTAATTTCAAACTATCACTATCCAGTAACAACTAGTGGTATTTCTGCTAACAGGATGCTGCCTTCAAGTCAAAAAAAAAAATTCTGTCTACCACATAATGAAGTAATATAGTATGTGAATTTCCATGCCAGTGTGATGATAAGTACATCGGCTATATGTCCCACTGTCTGGTGGATCATTACAAATAGCACATTCATTTGGCTGTTTGTAGTAGTAGTGTACTGACTATATCCAAACACTCTGAGCTTGTAAAGCTCAGAGCATAATGTCTAATATTTTAGATATGATTTCCAAAATTTGACAAGATTTACTGAACAGTCCTGGGTTTTACATTAACAACCAATTTAAGATTATCAATCTAATTTGCAATCTGACTGTCATTTGCTAGAAGCTACTTATTCAGACTTTGGAACCCTTCCTCTGCAGGAAAAAGGAACATGTTCAGGCATTGTGTGCCTTTTTTGAATTGAACCAAAGCATGAGGGAACAGTAGTTGCCTGGTGCATTCTCCTTGGCAATGTCTTGACCAGTCAGAGTTGACTTGTCAACCAATTAACACCACTTATTCTCTTGCAGCATAGTCTTTGTTCTGTTCGAAATTTTGCTTTCTTTTGTTTGTCCTGATGAGCGCAAGGCAAAAAGCATCAACAGTCTGTCTCTTTATCAGCTTTTAGTCAACAAAAATTCCAGTATTGCTATCTATGGGTATGGGAGAATATGAAGTCAAATCACAAATTTACCATGATCTAGTTGAATAATGGCGGAACAAGCTAAAGGCATTAAATGGTCACTTCCTGTTCCTGTGTCACTAAGTTGGAAATGATCCATTTAGTGAACCCACAATATAATACAGCCCAGACATTCAGATCAATATCGCCTGTGCCAACTGTTTGAAATTTAATTGTTCCAATTCCTCTCTTTCATAGTGAGCCTATAAATGTTTCCCTTCAGGATATATATCCATTTGACTTTTGAAAGTTGTTATTGAATCTGTTCACCTTATCTCTCACCCCCTTTCCAGAAGCTGCTTACTACTTACTGCATAAACAAGTATCTCCTCATCTGATCCCTGATTTCTTTGCCAGTTATCCTTTGGTTATTGACCTTCCTCACAGAGGAAACTACTTGTTTCTGTTGACTTGATGAAAACTCTTTGAATCTACAAAATAACTCACAATCTGTTTATTCTGATTCTCTTTTAGAGATATCTCAGGAACTTCCTCACATTGATGCTAAAGTCTCCAACTTCACCAATAAACTCACACAGCAAGGACTTTACACTGTCAAAGCACAGTCTGTGTGAGTTTACACCCTTCTTCAAAAAAGGGGTTTTTGACTTCAGCAGTCATGGTACTGGGTAGTTGTGTAAGATAAATGAAAGATTTTACCCCTTTTTAAAAATATCAGGACCAAAAGCTGTGCCTTCTCAACACCGGACTAGATTTTATAAGCAAAGAAGCAAATCATCTACTGTCCAGCAGTTTCCTTATGAAAGGTATCTTGTGTTTACATTGTAAAGCACCATCATTTGCTGTATAAAAATTATTTAAGTACAGTGAATAAGCTCTTTTTAGCATTTAAAAATAATTTTCTTTTATAGTCCATTGAATAAAATTCTCCAATTAGAAGTAAAAGCTTACATTTCACTAAGCCAGTAGGAAACGACTGATAATTGCAGTGCTGCTTGGTGCAAGCCAAGTTGTTTATCTGGATTAGTAGCAATAGTTAAAATGGCTGTGGCAGAGAACAGATGGTATTGAATTGGCTGCCTCTTATACTCAGCACCTGATCAACTGAAGACAATGAAGCAGGATCTCAAACGTGATCTGCATCACCTCCACCCCTCCCCGGCTTTTCTAATTTTGCAGACTAATAAACAAAAGTAGAACTTTTTTAAAAAAACCCAGTTCATATCACTGATACACAAAGTGGCATTGTTTTAACAAAAGATCCATCCCTATTGATTACGTGTCCTTTTCCATAGATATCACCAAAGCTATTCCAACATGAACCATTAACCAAATACTCTCTCTGGTCATCATCAGCTCACTTTGAGTACTCTTACAAAAAATGGTCAGTGTTGACCTTTACATTTTTAAAATTTATTTTGAACATGGAGGTGCTGTTGAAATATTTTAACAGATTATAGGCCTATTGGAGAATTGCCCTATTGATGTAGTGGAAGTGTTTAATAAGCACAGTAATGCTGCACATGTACAGTACAACCACTCTACAGTAGCCCTGACTACTTATAGAGCCTGATAGTATATAATTATTTAACCTAGTCTGGATATCACAATGCTGCTTACACTGGCCAATACTCACTAAAAACTATAAAGTTTAAGTTGAACAAAGGTAGCAATTCTCATCAATTTGAAGCTGTCTATGTGGACCGCAATGGTCATCTAATAGGCGAAGAAGTCGGCTCTCTGTATACAGAAGTTATAGCTACGACAGATCACTGCTAGAAATGTATCCAATGTTTTGGGAAATCCTATGGGAATATTTTGAGTCAATGCCACACATAATGTTTTTTATTCACCTGTAAATAAACATCTGAGGGTTTCCGACATATTTTAATTGATGCTCATTTAAAGATAATTGTTGCACTTCCATAAGGATGTCTTCCTTAAAATCACTTGGTCTTCTGAAATTTACAATGAAATTTGGAGCTGACAATGGGCAACATAAAAAGTGGAGTGTTGGAACTTTGTCCTGGACTGTGGCAGAGAATAGATGGAATTGAATAGGCTGCCCGTTATACTCCATACCTTATACCTGTTCCACTGTAGAGAATGAGGTGGAGGTGACGGACTGGGGGGACAGAGTCAGAAGTCAGACGACACCAGGTTATAGCCCAACAGCGTTATTTGAAATTACAAGCTTTTGGAGCACCGCTCCTTCGTCAGATGACAAAGGAGCAGTGCTTTGAAAGCTTGTGATTTCAGATAAACCTGTTGCATTATAACCTGGTGTCCTGTGACTTCTGACTGTAGAAAATGAAAGAAGATCTTGGCAGTGTCCCTACCTCTGAGCCTGGAGGCCCAGGTTTAAGTCCCACCTCCTCCAGAGGTGTGTCATAACATCTCTGAAACAGGATCTCAGACATTGCATATAACAGGCGGTCTGATACAGCACCTCATTCTGCATCACCGCCTGATGCAAATTTCTACTCTTTTTTTTAAATTTTGCAGACTAGTAAACAAAATGTAAAAGTTGCTGTGCATTTCAGCTATACACAAAGTGGTATTATTTTAACAAAAAATATACCCCTACTGATTTAATAGCTAGCTTAGCAATGGGATAGTCATTCATTGTAAAAGCTAGGTCTTCAACTAAAAACTTTGTAGGTACAAATGCACACATTTCATGTCCTTGCCAAATTTTATTGTACTTTTGCTTATGAAAAGGCTTGAATTTTGCAAAACTCGAGGAGAGCTCTGTAATTCATGCAGAAATTAAGTAGAGTTGTATCAGCAGCACAGCAGAATGATTGACTTGTAATCTGTTTCCAAGTCATGAGAAAGCAAAATTGGACAGCACATCAGGGAGCAAGAGGTCAGAATTTTTGGCTTGTTTCTACTTCCAGTATTTAAATTACTTACTGCAGTCAAGAATTTGCATTAATGTTGTGCCTCCAGTGTGAAATGTTGCAAGATGCTTTTTGCTCAACCTTTGACACGTGCTGAGAATGCTGACCTTTATAGTGATGTAACACTCCACTCACCCTTCAGGATGAGCTGTGACTTGATGTTAGCATGAGAGGTCGTAAAAAATCTGAACTGACTCCAATATGCAAAATGAGCAAAAATGAGCTAAGACCAGAGATAGAGGTTTACGTTACACCATTTTTTTATAACAGATTGTCATCTTATACATTTACGTTTCGTATAACTATGCAACATTAGGAATTGGCGTCAAATCACCCATTCATTGTAGAATGAAGTTCTGTTGAGCACATGTATTGTTATTACAACCATCCTCATACTTGCTTTGTATCTTTGTTCAATTAACATTGTCATGTATTTGGTGAGGTAGCCATTGGCTAAATGAAGCAGTGATTGTCAAAGTCTCCAGTTAAATGATTATTCATAGATGTTACTGAATTTCCAAAAATAATAACTTGGAAATAGTTTTTAGTTTTTCATACCACTTCTAAATTCTGAAACGATGCTGGTGACGCTTATGTAGCAAAAGCACTACCGCAAATGATACTTTCCTAATGTAGACACATTGGAGGCAGGATACCAAAGTTTTACATCATTCAGTTACACTTTCATTTCTGTAGCCTATAATATACAAAAAAAAAGTTGCTACATGTAATCTTTCTCTTCAGTGTGCCATTCAGATTTTTATTTTCACTGCTCAAAGCTGAATAGGTGTGTATATTAACTTTTCAGTTTTTTATTTGTTTCAAAAATAATTGCTTCCCATTATGAGCTTTAATTAATCAAAGATTTACAGGTCGTCATCTCAATTCATTAAAATTTCCACACATGAATTATTCTGTGGAATATCACTCATAGCTGCTTGGTAAGGAGCATGGGAGACAGCCGAAGTTCTACATGGTGACTGGACAGTTAGAAAGACACAATGTAATTACTCAACACGTTACCATCTACCAAAGCACAATTTCACCTTACTTCCTGCTTGGAAATGCAGCTCCTTTTGTGTGGGGAACACAAGATGGAATTTTTTAAAACGTTGAAATTTGATCTGTGTAATGTGCAATAAAAGTAAATCCTAGCCGCACCAAAGGCTTTTTACACTATTTTGTCCCATGAACATCTGTTAAATAGGAAAAAAGTCATCTTCTTCCTTCATTTTTCAGGTAACCTGATTGTTTCTACCAGCTCTCTGCAATCTAGAATTGTTATAGTACGCCTTTTCACCACATTATGGATGCAAAATGTTTACTGTAATGGGATTTGTGATTTCCGTTGTATAGATTACTTAGTTTGTGTAAACCTGGATTAATGAATAATGGTCACTACTACTTCTCAGTAACTTTCATGTGAAGAGAGCTACACTAAACAGCTTCTGGTTTACAAGTTTTACATTTATAGTATAGTTGGTGACAATCATAAAGTTTATTAAACCAGTTATGTTCCTGACAGTAGGCTGGTTCTAATATTTGTACTTGGCTACCGGGTAGACTGAAAAGAAACAAGAAAATGATATAAATATTGTACATGGAAATATGAGTAAAGTTTTTAAAGGTATTTTTTTAATGACTGTGGGAATTTGAGGGTCCTATATTATCGAGATGATCTATTTGTAAACTGTGTATATAAGCATAAATAATGCAAATCTCAGCCTGATTCTGCACCTAATTGTATAATCATTTATAATTTATAACTGCGGTGAAAGCACTTGCCGTGTGTGTTTTTTTAGTGTTTAAAACTGCTTTTTGTAAACTCACTGACCTCAAATAAAAAGTTAAGCTGAACAGCTGCTGCCATTCTGCTCCTTCTTTGCGTAAAACTAAAAGCTTCATTTATGAAGGAACAACATTTCAGATGTTTGAAAATAAGATTCACAGGGGATCAATAGAAGCATTGCTGCACAGATTGTTGGTGTCAGCACCAAATGTATCAAATAACTCACCTACCAAGGGCACCAAGCAAGTTTACCTCCTATTATCACACCTTTGGAGCTGTGTGAGAACTTGTGGGAATACATGTTTTTCCCACAGATGTTTTGTCATCTTCCCTCATTGCTTCCAATTACTTCCCAATTTGATAATGATCTTGTTGAGTACAAAAACCAGCCATCTCCAGTGGGAACTTGTTCATTAATATATTAACTATAGTTCCTGCAAGTCATTACATGGAATGTGGGAATGATCGATAGTTTGTGCAATGAGGACAGCAATATAGAATGTTACCTCAGATGCAGGTTGGAAGAACATTTTTATTCTTAAATCATTATGCCTTGCAAAAGTCGAACCAACATTTGAGATATTCATTGGAGAACTAAAGGACCACTTGAGTGCTGTGCTCTGACCACCTTGTGCATTGACTTTCTACCTGATTACAACATTGCTGCAGTGGGTGCTGTCTGAGTTGATTGGTAGCAAGTCACCAAGGCTTTTCTTTGGCAGCACCTCCCAAAATTGAGAGCTTTGCCACCTAGAAGAACATGTGCAGCAGTCATGAGGGAAAATGACTGCCTCCAAGTTCCTGTCCAAAGTATATGCTGACATGACTTTAAAATACATCATTCATCGTCATTGGGTCCAATTCCTGAAAGCCATTAATATGCCATTACTGTAGGAGTACATTCAACACCTACGAGTGCAACATTTTAGGAACCTTTTCAGTGACATTAGCAATGGCCAACAAATGTTGGTCTTGCCAATGATGTCTGTGTGAATGAATAAGAAAATAGTCAACTTGCAACTAAACCAACAAGCATTAAAGCAAAGCCATCTTGCATTTGTATCATACTTTTCACAACCTTGACTGCCAAAGTGCTTCACAGATAAAAGTTCTTTTGAATTGCAGGCACTGTTGTAAATGTGGCAGACAGCAACGCCCAACAAACAGCAATGAGGCTAAATGACCAGATAATATAGTCCTGGCAATTATTGGTTGAGAAAATTGTTATCAGGCCCTCCTGAAAGCAACTCTCGTCCTCTTCTAATACCATGCTGGGATGTTTTATGCCCATCTGAGAGTTAATCGAACCTCCATTTAATCTTCTCACCTGAAATGGAGCACCTCTGACAATGCAGCACTGCCTCAGTACTACGCTGAAGTGTCAACCTAGGTTATGCATTCAACTTCCTGGAGTGGCAGTTGAGCCTGCAGCTTTCTGATTGACCGGTAAGAGTGAATCAATGCTGAAACAGTGTATTTGAATAAATCTGGATGTGTAGGGCAGGTGTGGAACTTGCACATTTCAATGCTCCAGCTGCAGAAGTAGTTGATCAGCATAAAATCAATGCAAACTGTGGCAACGTGTTTTTGTCCTTAGTCCAAAACATTAAGGCGAGCTGTACATTACAGCTGCAGATTACATGTGATAGTAGGAACTGCAGATGCTGGAGAATCCGAAACAACAAGGTGCAGAGCTGAATGAACACAGCAGGCCAAGCAGCATCATTGGAGCAG